TATTTCAAAGATGTAAAAGAGACAGACACAAAGGTAGAGAGTAGGTAAGGTGAGTACTGCAAAAGGAGTCGAATATGAAATACAGTGGGGTCATGATAGTTTGAAGTCAGAAGTCAACTGCCGGTTTATAGACTTTTTTGCCGTATGAGTATACGTTGCCAAGGAATTGTCATAATATTTGAATTAGGGCATGTTGCAATGAACTCTATGCGTTAATTTAAGGCGTGAGTAGCTTAGCTTAGTGAATCCTTAGAGCGTTTGTACTTTATCCCCCACATTGACCTTACCATCCCCCCTCCTCCTCTCATTCAAGTTTGGCTGCTATAACATAAGTGGCTTTGATGTGTATCAATTTAATTTTGGCATCAAAGAGCTCGTACAAAGCTGTAAGTGAAAAAAGGCAATTTGTATTTTTTCAGTCCTCACTTTATTAATAAGTGCTCGAAGAGCTGACTGGGTATTTTTATCCCTTAATCTACTACTTTATTTATCCGTTAATTTTTGGAGCCATTGTGCATTATTTCCAGCATTGGATTTGTTCTCCCCACTGCTAACTGGAATGCACGATGGCCATGTAGCTGGCTGGCTGCCCTCATGACTACTCAAGGTTAGATGCCAGAAAGGACATTAAGTATCCCTATTTCATTGACATTAGAGTGGAGTTGTACTTCTGAAAGTCGGATAGATGAAAGGTACCTTGAAAATAGTCAGATTTTTATAATCCTAATAGAATAAAGACCAGAATGAGAAATCCGTTTATCAATTTAAGAGACTACTGTTAATAGGATGAATGGAACTTCACACAGTAATAGTGATGCGTGTGATTTTGCAGCTTTGTGAGTTTAAAGTTGTTGAGAAAGGAATGGTGGGGGGGGGGAGTGGGAAGGGAGGCGGCGGAAATTGGTTATATATTGATTTTTATGCACAAATTAAAAAGCACGACCCCCTGAGATTTCGGGCATACTTTAAGATTAATTGTGCACTTTCGTCTTAGTGACTACATTTATTCAAGCTAGTCAATACGCCGATTCAGGAATACTGCAAAATGGTGCCGCTCAATAAGCATTCACCAACCATTAGCTGCCCATTTCTTGTCTTTTGCTATAAGATTATAAGTCTGGCTTAAGATGAAAAAAATGAGATGCAGTTTCTTCTGTTGCAAAAATATTAGGTTGGCAACTAAGTCATTACCGATTTCAAATAAGAAGGCAAATTCGGAATTTTTGTTTAAAAATATAACTTTATTCAATTAGATATTGGCCGTTCTTGACGATGACCTTTTCTATCGTTCTGGCAGAGTAAAAATTTCCCGTTCGCGAAATGTCTGGTCTTTGCTATTAAAAAACTGAATTAGGTGTGATCCGACATCATCCGCGTTGTTAAAAATTTGACCATTTAAAGAGTTTTGCATGGAACGAAACAAATGGTAATCCGAAGGCGCAAGGTCAGGGCAGGGCTATATGGTGGGTGTGACAAAACATCCCAACCCAGTTCCAATAATTTTGGCCGAGTAACCAAAGATGTGTGGGGCCTTGCGTTATCATGATGGAAAACAACACCCTTCCCCCGATTTGATAATGCCGGCCGCTTATCTTCAATTGCATCCTTCAGTTTTTCGAGCTCTTCAACATGCACATTTGAATTTATCGTTTGGTTCTGCGGCATGAGTTCAAAATACAAAATTCCTTTGTGATCCCACCAGACTGACAGCATAATCTTTCTTTGGTGAATCTCTGCTTTTGATACTGTTTGGGCTGGTCGATCTTGCTTCACCCACGATCTCTTGCGAGTAACATTGTTATAAACTATCCACTTTTCGTCGCCAGTAACTAGGTTCTTCAGAAATGGATCATTCTCATTGCGTTTCAGTAGCGGCGAATCACAGATGCTAATCCGTTGCGTCAAATGAATTTCCTTTAACTGGTGAGGGATCCATAAATCAAGTTTCTTGACATAACCAAGGGTTTTTAATTTTTTTTTTCAATGCATGTATGCGACACATTGAGCTTCTCTGCAATATCTCGTGTTGTGCTGTGACGATTTGAATCGATAATGGCCTTGATATGGGTTTCATCCACTTCGACTGGGCGGCCAGATCGTTGTGAATTTTTCAGTGAAAAATCACCGGAACGAAATCTTTCAAACCAATTTCGACACTGCCTTTCTTTTAAGGCTTCATCTCCATATACGGCACATAACTTCTTTTGTGCTTGCGATGCGTTCTTGCCTTTTCGGAAGTAATACAATAAAATGTGTCGGAAGTGCACGTCATGTTCTTTCATTTTTAAATTGGGATAAAAACAAAACTAAAGAACTAAACAAAAAAATTTTTTACTAATTAACCTAGAAGCCCATACAGTAAGAAAAAAATATAGGTTAGATGCTCTGGCCACGTTAACAAAACAAAAGAAAGTATAGAGTGAATCTGTCAACAAAAACGACAATGACTTAGTTGCCCACCCAATATTTATGATCACTAGTCGATTCCACTGAAATTACGCCTAATTCAATCATTATGCTTGAGTGATCAAACACGGGCTAAGCAATTCGAAAATCTGGAAGAGGCTTGCAAATCTTTTCGTTCTTTAATTTTATTGACCGAGATCGAGTGAAAAATTTAGATGTTTAATGATAGGTAGTTGTGCAAGCTTAGTTCCCTCACTTCTCAGGGCATGCAGCTAGAGCAAAATTGTGCATTAAAAATATTTTACTACTTTTCATACGATTTACTCCTCTTTTCAAATCGGAAATACACCAAACTTGTTCATTTAGAAATGCAGTAAGAGCGTTTATGCCTCTACATTGACGTTGTCAAAACAGAAATAGTCCATTTCAGTATTTTTAATTTAAAGCAGTGTAGCTTAGGCTTTTTGCTTATTCACATTTCTCTTCGCAGGCATTAGAGGAACAAACGGAACTCAAAGCGAATGATTACATCGTTCCTACCATCTTACTTCTACTAATGATGGCTTAAAATCTTCGCTTTTCTTGATTATCAAAACTTGTGTTCCTTTATCAGACCATTATCAAATTTGCTATATTTTTTGTTCCGTTTTTTTTGAACGATTAAATCAGCATCGTTTTGGCATTTTCAAAGGTGAACTCTACTTGACAAACTCTCTGGACTATGAACGAACTCCTCGCTACTTCTTAACAATTGAAGCAAAAGACGGCGGTTCACCGCCTCTTAGCACGACTACAGTTGTCACTATCAATGTCGTGGATGAAAACGACAATTCACCTTACTTCATCGGTCAAGATGTGACAGTTGTTGGCAACTTCTCGGAATCAAGTACCTCTGAAACTCCTGAAATTGGTGTCTATTCATTTGAAGTCTACGAGAATAGTCCTGTTGGAACTCAAATAGGCAGAGTAAGATTTCTCTTCTTCTTAAATAAATAAGTAAATATGTTATGTACATTATTAGCTGTTTAAGTAGGTGATAAAGTTTACTTCGTTAGCTCAGTTAGCTATAAATAGCACAACAACAAAGTCTATGGATTCTAACTTTTCTGAGTTTCTTATGTGTAATCACTCGCAACATGAAATTGTGAAATGATGATTTGAAGGTCTGGGGGGGGGGGGTTAGGTAATTTACATAATACGATGTTTAGAGGTGAAGTCAACGACAATACTCAAACCTAATTGTGTTTAGTGTTTGTGAGAATACATTCAAAGCGAAGTCCAGTTAGAGTGTTAAGGTTTCGTTAGATTTTTCTGTAAGCCAGTTCTCGTTTTACAGGTGAATATTACTGATATTATAGTTAAATAATGGTTGTACTTTTGCACTTGTGAGTTAAGTTATTTACGATTATATTTTTATCAAAACTGCGTCTCTACTTTTATGTGTATTTCTCACTCACTTGGTACCGAATAACTCTTCTCTCTTTTTAAATTTATTTACTATTCATATATGGTTAATTTCATGAGTCCATTTCTCATCACAGTCCAACATTAGGGTCTCTCCCGAACGTAAGTGTTATGGTTGTTTGAATTAATCCAATATTCTACAATTTTTATATCTAGGCTTAGACAAAAGTCCAGTGTGTGTCTGTTCCATTGTTTGTCCTTAAAACGTTTCATTTAGCACTTTTACTCATTTTAAAAACCAATAAATTTCAGATTATTGTTAAACCGTTCAAATTTGCGAAAACTTACGGTTGGAAACACAAATTATATATACCTAGTGTGGAAAATTAAATGGTTTAAACATCGCTTAACATATCTCTAATTACTGTAACTTATTTTATACTCAAGAAAGGACATTATGGCCTTAAACGCCATACTGAAATGCAAGAAGTAACTAACGGTTGAAAAGCATTATATGGTTTTTTAACAGGTAACAGCGAGAGATCCTGACTTAGGAGAAAACGGTCGTCTTTCCTTCTCAATCTGTGAATCTATGCAGCCTCCTGGTGAAGTTATGACTGTTGAGATCTCCTCACGGTCTTCGTCTACAACTGGTGTTGGGCGTCGTTTTGAAGTTGGTGAGTCGCGAGGGGAAATAAATCTACTTTTCTCACCGGACCGCGAAGTTGCATCCCTCTACGAATTTATGGTTTGTGTTGTTGATCATGGCGAACCGCCCAGATCTGCTGTCACAAAGGTTCAAGTAACAATTCGGGATACTAACGATTGTCAACCGCAATTTGAGCGATCAAATTATGAATTCTACGTTCAGGTAATAAGTTAATATTTTCTTGGTTATTAGGTGTTTGTATATTCTTGACATAGATTTTATTTACTTAATTCATTCATTGGTCACATTACCTATTGTTTACGTCGATTTTCTCCTTTTTTAATAGGTGAATCGCAATGGCAATGTTGTCTCTACGGATCAACTTGGTGTAAGTTATCCTTGCAATCTGGAATGCATTGATTTCTGAGTATCGATTTTACTTTAATTTGACGAACATATCCCTTAGTTATTCATTGTGATCATTTTAGCTTAAAGAAAGGGAATATTGATATAATGAGACATTACTGCTTTAAATCGCAAAATCAGAGAAACTGTCGTATTTTAAACTCTAGTTTCATAACTCAGTAGCGAAGGTTTTGTAGTCCTCCGGGATATTAACTTCACAAGAACCTTTCTGACAATAGGAAATAAATGGACAGGTTTCGCGAAGATTCTCATTAATTTTGCCTTCATTAAAGTAGTAATAAATTCAATCAATAGAGGCGTTGTTGACAATCACTCAGCTATGTATGTAAATATCTAAAATCCAGTGAAATACACCATACTTCTAACTGATACGTTATTTAAACTTCTCTTTCCATAACGTTACTTACTATTTGTCTAGGTGTCGTATTTTTTTATTAAATCAGGTGCTGTAATTCAATGTCAACCAAATAAGTAGCATATAGGAATGTCAACTAGTCTATAAACATTCATTGTGAGCAAATCCACTCCGCCATTTCTGCCACTAGACTTACCTTTAATGGTCTTAATAAGTATCGGTATGTTACTTTCCTGTGTGAATCAATATAATCCCAGACATTTTTAATATGCCATTTTATAAATGAATTAGAAAGGATGAAAGAGAAATAAAGGAATGCTTTAGTTATTGTTTATACAACGTTGGAACAAAATGGCCCTATCCGATTCCGATCTTAAGACCTCAATCAATAAGTGATTACCAGAATAGAATTTGATTGATTAAAATGTGGATATGGAAATAAAAATACCCTCGAATGTAGGTTTATTCTATAAGTTTAACGTAGCCCCTTTAATTTATTTGACGAGTTCTATGCGTCTAAAAGTTGCATTTTATTTGATGGAACATTATACTATGAAATACCTAATTTCAAAAATTACAGAATATATGTTAATTTTTAGGAACTTATTAATTTTCTAGCATTTTCAGAGCTCAGGTAACGTTTCACGAACAGAGGACGCTGAGATCCTGCTTGGACATTTGGCTCTACGTGATATGGACGCATATCCAAATTCCGGTCCCTTCAAATGCAAGTTGACAGGATTTGTTGGTTCGTCGTCGGTGGGCTCCTGGGACACATCTACACCCCTTTTCATTGTCAAAACTGTCTCTGCTTCCCTGGATGCCTTTTCGGGGGAATCTGATGTTGCTCCCACTCCCGCTGATATGACATTCTTCCAGAATTTGGATGCTAATCAAACTGGATTCTGTTCTTTATATGCCGCATCAACACTACCGGTAAGTGCATTATTTTAATTTCACTGGCATTCTTTATTTTGTTTTGTCTTAGAGAAGTATTTGGCAGTAATCGGATCATATTCTAGGGAAATGATTGTTTTTTTCAGCAAAATTTTGTGGATGTGTTCTAAAATTAGTCAGAATGCATGATATTATTTTTAGTAATTCATGATATCGCCATCTGGGTTCAATGAAATAAAATCTATCGGAATAAATTTTATAAATGACTCAATTCTATCAACACCCATTTTTGCTTGCATGGCAACTAGACCACCTTATGCTCATTCAAGTGCAGTCGATAACCCCTAAACCACCTCTGCCTCACCTTAAGTGGCCTGAGAGTTTACTTTTGCCGCTTTTATCTGTTAAATTTATTTTTTTCAACTTCTTCTTTCAAGTATCAATATATTGAATTAAAGCTACAGAAGTTCATGGTTGCGCTATTCGACTGGTCAATTCATTTGTCACTTATAATCGAATCATCCTCTACTTTCATGTTTCATTCGTTCATTATTGTAATATCCCATTCGGTTAATTAAGTTTTGCTCCCATTCTTTTCATATGTAGCTGGGAAGCAAGAATCTGGTTGTAAGGGCACATGACAGCGGGATGACTGCTCTCCACTCATCCGTAACAATCACCGTTCATATTTCACGCCAATCAAATCTTCCTCCAGAGATTGTCAGTTCAAATACTACATTGGTGATTTTCCGGGATACGTCCAGTTCCACTGCTCCTTCACTCAAGCGTCGATTTGATCTTGATAACTCGATATCAGCCACAAAAGCACAGAAGGCGCAGGATTCACCACTAATGAAAGTAACAGTTCGAGATCGTACTGCCTACGATCATCTCTTCTTTGAACTTCTACCGAATCCTTTTGCAGCTCACTTCATTATCGACCAGTATGATGGAAGCATCTATGTGAAGTCTTCTACTTCTGGACCCATGGAGTCTGGAGTTTCTGCAACGATTGAGAAAGATCCTTCTCTTGAATGGTTGGAGCCTTCTTTGCCGCAACTTCCCGTCCTAGCTCAGCTCAATTCAGGAGATTATAAACTGAGAGTCAGAGTGGCAAATGGGTCACTGAGCTCAAATGGTACACTCCACCTGAAGGTCAGTAATCTGTTTTTATTCCTGTATAGTTGCGTTTATTGGGCTAAGTATTAGCAGGCACTTCTTTATGGAATGAAGAATTTCCTCAATTTAATAGACCTTCCGGCTTTAATATGACTTAAATTCCAATTTGATGTTATTATCGCATGTGAACGAGAATTTATTACAGTCATATCATGCAGCGAAAGGTGCATGTACTTCACGGTAAAAAATAAACTCTTCTTAAAGCATCTGTTCCTTATTTAGTTATGAAACCTAATTCATCTATTTATTGCCTAGATGACCTATGGAATATGTTCCTCTTAGATGTAATCTCTAATGCACTTTAGAGGTAAACTTATTCATGATATTTTCCACGCTTTAGGGTCAGTCAGAACAACATAAGTGATCACCTATAACGTAGATCTTTTCACGAGCACTAGCTCACTATTGTCTTAGCACAAAATTCCTATTAAATTAAGTTCTCTTTTTCAAAATAATTGGGCAAAATTACCAAAAGTGTTTAGGACAAAGTCAAATTGAATCTGTGACAATGTCAGCCGTATGATCATTGACTATCTAAATATGCGACTTTTCCTCTATTAAATTTACTACAGCTAATATGATTGGGAGTTAGTGGAAATGTAATTATTGAAACACTGGACCGTTTTGTAAACTCTGTTCTTTTGCTTGCTAGGTTATAACCGTGACAGAAGAAATGGTGGAGGCGGCTTGTGTTCTTCATGTCGCTGATATATCTCCCAATGAACTATTTCTTTCGAATTTGAATGAAGTAATTCTTCAGGAGTTAGCCGATGGACTTTTCAAGCAATCTACTCCTAAAGAACGGGCTCAAGCTAAAGACAACATTTTCTTAATCTCTGTTCAGTCTGGCTCTTCAATGATGCGTATGCAGAAGCGAAGTGTAGGCGGTGGATCCGATATGTTGATTGCTGCTTATGCTCAAAGAGAGAAACGGTTCATTGAATCAAGCCAACTGGTTCAGAGAATCCATGCACTGCAAGCTAATCTCTCGAAGAGTGTTGGGCATCAATTGCATGCTTACAACAGCCTCTGTGCACAAAAGGTAATGCCTTATTTTAACTAGTTTTTTAAAAAAGTGTTCGAATTTACCACTGCTATATAGTACTTTAGTAAAATCAGACCACTCGCTTCTTTCCTTTACTTTTAATTACTCTTTCAAGGTTACTGTAAACGTTTCCCCATCACATTGTATGCTATTGAGTTGATTAAGTAAGGGAGTGAAAATTCTTGCTTCTAAATAGAATGACTATTGATTATTTCACCTATCGCATTACTTTAACAACAGGCGATGTTTGGTAAGGAAGTTTGTCTGGTTTCACGCACTATTCGTAAACTAATTGTTGGTGCGCTCTTCTTTATTTCACTCCAATGTAAACGTAATTATCTATTAATTGTATAGACACTCTTTAACGATCTCTATTTTATCGTCCTTTCTTTTGTCAGTACAAAACTTCCAGTAATCAAGCGATTGCGGTTATTTCAATCGTTTCTTTTTATGTTTCCTCCTCTCGTCGATAAAGTAGAGACAGTCATTTACTTGCTGTTCGCCAGCATTGCACTTCATTGCTCTTGCATGAATTTTCTCCAGAGGCTGAGAAACTGTGTTTTAGTCAGGAAAATTCATGAAATTGATTATTTCTTTCTGACCACGTTTAGTGATAGGCACTTGAATGGTGGCCACAAACTTGACAAACATGTCCACCACTCTACTACCGTATTAGCATTTCGCAGTAAACTACTTGCGTCTACCATGGAAAAAGCCTAGTTTCTTCATGTTAAAAGCACGCAAAATTTATTCAAGGAAACCCCGCATTAATAAACTCTCGTTTTTCTTCCTTGTCGTATTTCCTCAAAAGTGATGGAGCTCCATCTCACTGTGCTCTCAACCTCATTAAAACCATCAAGTTCACGGGGCAATATCTCTCCTCTCGCTTTTGAAATTACGCCACTTCTGTCTTACTAAACAAGCTTTGCTTGACATTTGCAAGAATACCTCAATTAACACTGACAAGTTAGACGTGAAATTTTTAGTTATTTATTTATATCAAATGGCAGGCGTCTTGATGGTTATCATTAGCCCTTTAGTTGACTTCAGGCTTCACAGATGGGAAGAAATATCAAATTGAAGTCGAGAGGGGGGAACAGAAGAGTGTTTCAAAGATGTAAGAGACAAACACAAAGATAGAACAAAGGTGAGGTGAATACTGAGGAAATAGTCGAATATGGCATAGAGTGAGGTGATGGTAGTTTTAAGTGAGAAGTCAACTGCCGGTTAATAGACTTTTTTGCCGTTAGACGTGAAATTAATACTTTAACAAATTTCCATGTTATTTATTAATTAATATTTCCTAGAGAATTTGTTTTAATCAGGTCTCGCGGACTAAACAATCGGCTTCTAATTGCGCTCAGAGATGTTGCTAGACTTATAATTGTTTTATTTTTCTATTTCGTAGAACAATGACTATTTTTAGTTTCATTTCAAGTGTTGTAGTGTTTTTCTAACTAAAT